CTCTCTCCTCTCCTCACACACACACACACACACACACACACACACACGTTAATCGGTTGTGAAGAACTTAAAAAACAAATTTATGGAAATATGATCAATGTATAATGCCGTATATTATCCAAGGGTCCTTCATCAAATTGTCTTTACTCATAGTTTCATGGAGCTTGTCGGATAAAGAACGGATGAGTAAGTTCCGAGTAGCACGACAAGACTCTAAAGTCTGTTTAGTGTTACGAAATTTTATGGTACTTTCGGCCACAAGAGTTGGCTCGTACGGAACGTGTTTAGCATCATGTATATGAGGCATCATGAGAAGTTTGCAATGGTTTAAGATGGGGTTGGGATCTCATTTATAATCACCAAGGGCAGCAAGGTTCAGATCAGAGTCCCAGCGATCGTAATTATCACCAGAGCGGGTGTGAGGTGACCACTTGATGCGCGTATAGTCTGCTGTTGCATCGGTAGAGCTGAGCGTTGTCGAAGAAGTAGTTCAGACTAGAAAAATAAGCCCATTACCTAATAAAGACTATTATTCTTTACTTTGAACTACTAATTTGATTTATGTTTTTCTATTATAACATATATAAAGAGTATGTGAAAAGTATTTTGTGTACATGTCTAATTTTGCTCATGTTCAGTATCTAAGGATATTCTGTAGATATATAGAAAGTGTATGACCCTTAGTATGACCAAAATTAGCCCATGAGTTGCTGTTGTTGTGCTGTAAGTTGCAATTTTGTTGGTTCTTTGTCGTTCTTAAGGGCTCGGCACATATTAGATACGGATAGTGCCATGCCATAGACATCCTCTAATTTACGTATTGCATCTGTGGCACTGTGACCCGTAGATATGATCTTCTCCATTGCTTTCCAGAAGTAATTTCTATGACTATATATGCTTTTCACACGGCCTCTCCCTGTTGCAGTGAAGCTCTTGGCAGGTTTGTTGTTATCTAGACCTTCCTCATACTCAAGCCAGAGTCTCCACTGTGATTTAGGCGCATTGATTAGCTTTGATTCACGGATATTTTGTTGCTGTTCATGGATGAAGTGTGCATAATCGTTCTGTTGTTGATTATTATGCTGCTGTGTATTCTGCTATTATTGTGCATTACGACGGGCTCTATATGGTAGATCCAGGTGATGGAAGTCGGCGGCCATGCCAGTCCTGATGTTTTGCACTGTTTTTTCGTAATCTAGTGTTCATTGCAATGTACTCTTTGTTTATCCTGTTCCATCATCTGTTTTAAATGTCGAACTTTTGCGATGAGCCCCTATATCTCGTTTTTTAAGTCTTGGACGTTCATATGTTACATATTCTCAGCCCCAGGTGCATACGAGAGCTATCGTTGCTGTCACGTATTATTAGTTTTTGTAGTTTTGTAAGCAATTGTGATATATCATAATCCTCCGTAACATTGAATATCTCACTTATGCATACCCTCACGTGTTGCTTGAATTGGCAGTTTACAAGTATACTGTCAGTTGTAGCCAAGTATAATACTACAACAGCAAACAGTTGTTTGTGTGACTCGTGCATATTTGGTAAGCCATATGTAATAAGCCGGGCCTCCACATTAGACTCTATGTTATAAACATACTCTTAAGCAGTACGTAAATTATAAACGTACTCTTCATAGAACGAGGTACTTTAAGTTTCCTAAATGTACTCTTAATAGTACGAGGAACTTAAGTTTCCTAAATGTACTCTTAATAGCACAAGGAACTTAAGTTTCCTAAAATGGTTTTTAATGGTTATATTAATTAATACCTTTTCCATTTTACATATCAGATATTTGGACGAGTCCATTAAAAGGCCTCAGTAAAATACCAAACATAAGAGTTTGGTCTAGTTCTATTAATAGAACTCTATTTACTTTCCAACTTTATTTATATCTGAATACTTCGGTAGCGAGATGGCTCAACCGAATATAGGTTTCTAGGGACTATTAACGTTACCTAGTTGATCCTCCGATCAGCCAACCAGATGTGCCTGTCTGATGAAGGCTAAGTCGGTAATTCTTGATAGTGGCTAGTTATTGGTTAAGACAATAACTAAGGACATCAAGAGTAATTTTTCTTCTTCTAAAGATAGGATTTTATGAGTCTCTCGGATTCGCCCTAGTGAAACATACCATAGTTTCTAATAGAGCGACAACGAAACACTAAATAAAATCCCTTCGGCGGAAACAGTACTGAGAGGATTATATATAGGCAATGTCTCAGCCTCACAATCCCTCAGAGTATTGCTGTTTTCACGAGGCATACCTAACTTTACTAAAAGTCTCATTTCGTTTATTTACTTTGTTATTTACACGATACTTAGAATTTACCTACGTGTTTATTTATTCTAAGGCATTAGTATCGCCTTAATAGACTGAATCTTACACATTTTAAAGTTAGCAAAGGTATTAATTACTTAGACTACTTAGGCGTAAAGGTAGAGTAACTACCACAATTTTTTTCTTGTCCAAGCTAGTCCTTAAGAGACAAGCTAGCAGTCATAAGTTATGATTATGACCAAGAAAGACAATACTCCTTCCAAGAAGCGTAGAGCTGAAAAGAAGAAGATGGAGAGAGAAGCCGCAGCTACTGCTGCCGCAGAAGCAACCGCTGCCGCTGCTGATGCGTTTAACC